GTCATTGTTAGAGATGGGACTCTCCTGCCAACACTCTATGGCTATGATACCCACCCGACCCCCTCCCAATATGCCTGAGCTGTTGAATAAAAGAGAGCCGAGGAGAGGGGGGATTTGGGTGCTTCTCAGTACCAGTCGGGAAAATTAGGTCAAATTTGAATTTGAACCTTTTTCAAAACAGTCATCTAACAAAATGTCTCAGTGGAAGAGACGGTGCATTAGCAAAGATAATAACATTAAAACACCAACACTTATTAACTCAAAATGTATGTTCATCAAGGCCAAGGCATGTCGAAGAGTAACCAAGAGTTGTTTGATTATTGTTGACTTAAAAATAACATTTGTGGTAAGATGCCATATGGAGAGTGCCACAGGAATGTTTGGCTACGAAAAGGATCATAATTGTCATTCCGATACACTAAAGTGTACGCTGTAAAAAGACGAGGTTTCACAGCTGTTCTTAACTGCATCCAACAACGTTGGAACTAGGGTGAAGTCTCAGTGCACCAGGGAAATAATTTGTTTAGTTCAGGTTTTTCTTATAGGACTGTTTAAATAATTATCCTCGTATAAAAATGCATAACTATGAATTGATGAAGATTTCTAGATTAATATCAGATTTCTCCTGATAAATGTCATATATATAAAAAAAGTGTTTTTACGGTTTAGAGAGATAACTGTTTCTACAGGTTCGTAGTAACAGATTGTAGCTCCTGAAGTATGCTATAGATCATACTGTATAGATCATACTGTATCATGCTAATGCTTCCAGTTAGCATGATATGTTGTTCTGTTTGCTTTGCTGTGTTCTAGCATGATACAGTATGTTGTTCTGTTTGCTTTGCTGTGTTTTCACAGTTCCTCTAAGCTCCGACATGTCTTGTCTGTCTTGTTCATTTGTCTCAGTACAAGACTAGTCCTGCATCACTGCTTGGCCAATAACATTCTTTTTACACACTCTCTCCGTCTCATGGCAATTAACATGCCTTACGAATACTAAACACTGGAAAATATGGTTTGGTGGTACGAATACACAGTACTTTTCTCCACTTAAAGACACAACATGCATTAGTGAGTCGTGCTTTTCTGGCGAAGATTGTTTTTGATTGTAATTCATCCAGTAATGAAGGACTGCGTCCCTTCCAGTTATTCCACCGCCTTTCATTTGGGTCCAAGCACAAATGAGGAATGTGACGTGTCTCTCAGCAGCATGTAATGTCTTGTTAGCTAAAGAAAGTCTGACAGCAATATGACTCAGTGACAAAGCCCAGTGTTCAGGGGAATCGATTATGGTGAGGTTTGGTATAGGACCATCGTAGGTGCTGTACAGCTGCTGGTCCTTTGTAATGTTGACGCTTTTGTCTGTGAAATTTAAGACCTCAGTAAGAGTGTATTAGTACAGACACTAAATGTAAATTTGGTGGACCATCCACAGAAGTGACTTCAATGACTGGGCATTTTAGTTTAAAGTAAATCTTGATCTGTTGTTGTGAGCAATGGTCAATTTAAATTGTCAGATGGACTGGAGAAAATCCACACACAAAAGTGTAAATTCACTTTTTCCTTTCACGTTGTATATTTTGCCTTGATTTTGTGCGGTTGTACGGACCAGTAGGCGCATGAACATAGTGAGGTTTATCATCTCGTAAAATTTGGGCCCACTGATAGTAAAAGAAAATGTTGTTCTGAAGGAAAATGGGGTATCTCCCCTACTACTTTGGGTGGCCCAGCAGTGAAGGAAATATTTTAGTCAACTGAGGGGTTTTATGTCTAAAACCACAATGCAAATCATTCACGGCACGAGAAAAGTGCAGTGTTCCCTGTGTTGGGTATGAACAGTTTGTACGTTTGTGCTTTGGGCGAGGTTGTGAGATAGAGACAGATGGATGGAAAGGCTGAAAATGTTTCAGCCTGTGTCATCATTGTACCAGGTTGCTGCCTCTTTTGCAAAGCGCTGTTATCCTCAGAAATATAAATCACATATTTATATGGGAAGTCCAGTACAAAGTGGACTGCTCTGTAAGTTAAAAATACACCATTTCTACCAGTGAACACCCTTTACTTTTTCATCTTTTCGAGATAATGTTTTCGAATGTGATATGTTTCACCAGAACCAGTGTTCGCCTTAATGCTCTTATTTTCTACACACATAGATTTAAGTTTCCCCCCGCTCTGACTGAAGACATACTTGTTACAACCACTACTCCTGCGGCAACTTGGGTTTTTTCATAGCAAATAGAAAAAAGCTGTGTCCCAGAGCAGCCTCTACATCCTTCATAGGACGCAACTGAACATTTAAAAAGATCTGACAGTCCTGTATGCGGATAATCTAATCCTAATCCATCCCAGGCTTCATTTCCTCCTTGGGTCAAAGATATTGTCACGATTCTGTAGAAGATCATTAACTGATGATCAAAGAACGGGAAACGTTTAAGTGTAGAACGGACTGTTGGCCCTCATCTGTCATTACAGCCCTGAATGTCTTTAAATTATACGCAGATAATATTTCTTTTCTATGTCAGATGTTTTCCACTATCAGGACTTACACTAACTTTAAACATTGACCAAAATGACTATCGTGCTCAATGGAGATGAGCAACCACAGCCCATGGTATTTAACCATCTGATACTAAGACCTGTCTTGTCCCAAAAATGTTTCAATATCCAAAACGATACTCGGTCTCACTTGTAGTTTGTAATAACGTAATTCAAATCTGCAAGTGATTTTTCAGCACTATTTAACAACACATCTCCACATGTACAATATTTATGTATCTGAATTGTCATCATCCATAGTTAATGGATGACAGCAGTCTGTCACGACAGGTCTTCTTCTCTGTGATGGTTCATGGCCTGCTTGCTGTCCTAGATACATTATATTAGAAGTACCATTGCATGATGGGAAATAGAACTGTATTTAACGTATTACATATATTGTCGTGTTTCGGCCTACATCATACACTCATTGGCTGGTCACCGCTATCAGAGCAGTGTCCGGCCAATGAGAGAAGAACCTCGAGGGTTCAATTTGCTGCAACCTGGCAAACAGTCCCGGTCTCTGCAGTTACCGACGATTGTCTCCGATTCATGCGAGCTAATCTGCAGGAGCTGCTGGAACTGTTTGGGTTCATTCACACTGTGGGCAGTGAAGCCTGAAATGAAGAGATTTACTGTCCTAACACCTTGACCCAACCACCAGTCCTGTCTTTTACTGCTGTGGCCCTGAGGGAGGAACACAGAGGAGAAATGTGGAGGAGGTGCAGGAGAGCGATGTTTACTAAAGCAGGTGAAGGATAAGCCAACGACGTTAATGTGCTGTTGTTTTTTTTAAAAAGAAAAACACATTCATATAGTTCTTTACTTTACAGACCATTTCACTCTATAACAATTGGAATGAAAGATGTTGCTTATCGCATACGGCAGTCATCATTTTCACTTTAAAGATACTGTAATGTAAAAAGCAGCATTCTTTGGATTCCATTAGTTCATTCACTGCTTTTACTGGATCATCTTTGTCACGCTTTTGTTCATTTATTGACTTTTTGAAATAACTGTTCGTTTCATTGTTGAAGCAGTCTTTCTAAACCTGGTTACTTTGTATTTTTTTTCTATTAATGTAGGCCACACTGCTTGTCACCAGAATAGGGAGCTTAACCAAACCTTCTATCGCTGTGCAATTGAAATCACTATGAAATCCCACAGTAGACCACCAATGAAGGGGTGCTTGGTTAATGTTAAGGTGGACCACACGTTGAAGGGGTGCTTGGTTAATGTTAAGGTAATTCTAAGGTAATGCAGCTTCATCCTACCGTTCAAAAACACAGAGGATTTTGGGTATTGCTACGCTTTCAGTTTTTTCATTGGGATGGATGTGGATGTGGATGGTTGGTTGTCTCTATGTGTGGCCCTGTGGTGGGCCAGACAACAGTCCTGGGTGGCCCAATGAATGCTGGGATTGGCTCCAGCGCCACCTGTACAAGATCACTGCGTGATTCAAATTCCAACAACAACAATGCCAATAATCTGAGGTGTAATCGGCGACAATGAGAGGTGGATTTGATGGAAGCTGAGCCTGAAAGAAATTTCAACAACGGTTCAGGTTTACTAATACCTCACTGGGCTCAGTGCCTTTTGAAATGTCTGAGCTGTGACTGAATTGATATGTTGGTGTGTTTTGCCACCAGCATTTTGTCACGGCCTTTTCATAACCATCTTAGAAGTTACAAAGCAGAACTGAGCTGAGTGCCGGATCAGCACACAGCTGACAAAGACAGCAGACGCAAACTTGTTGCAGTTATTTACTACAACATTGTAAAAGTGCCCAAAAGGCTTAAATGGAAAAGCCCCCCCCCCCCTAGCACCCCCCCCCCACACACACACACACACACACACACATCTTGCTCTGAGGGGATCATCAATAAAATATAATGCAAGGAAAGCAGCCTGGAGATGAGATGGAAGACCAGTGACAATGAAAAAGATGAAAACGGCCATTTCTTTTTATTGATCTATTTGGATGATGGGAGGTGAACTGAAGGAGGGACTGTGAGTCACAGCACAGTGATATGTATGAAGAAAAGCCTTAGACGACGACCGTTTGGCCTGAACAATTTGTCCGTTTTTTTTTTTTAATTAGATTGCATTAAAATATCATTGTAGTCTAAAAATGTGACATATCCATGTTGTGAGAAATTGTTTTTTTTAATGCTAAATGGACCTGCTAACATATTCAGTTGTCTTCAGCTTGACTGACACAACAAGAACCCAACTATAAATCTCGTATATTCTTTAACTGTTATACATAAAGGTGTTGTTTAGTGAAAAGTTAAAAGCATGATTGGACTGATTTCACATCTGTGCAGCACTGGTTTTATCAGTTCAGCCTCAACCGACACCGGCTCCATTTTTTTCCTGCATTAACACAGTTTCTCTGCTACATTTTGTCTCTTATTTCTTTTTTTTAATCCTTCCATTTTCTGTCTCTTCTCTGTCTCTTGCAGGCCAACCTGAACGACTCTCATAATCAGATGGTCGTCCACTGGGCTGGAGAGAAGAGCAACGTCATTGTAGCCTTGGCGCGGGACAGTGCTGCAGCCACGGGGCCAAAAACCAGCTCTGTAAGAGCAGCTACTGTACATGTTTACACAGCCTGTAGATGGACTGGTTTTCACCTCAAGTTGTGTTTGTTTGTGATGGCGTCAGTCCATACTGTAACCACACCTGCACTGTCAGCTGAGAATCGCCGTGCTAGGCCCTCTGGCAAAGTGATTTTGGTGTTCATGTCATCAGCCGTAGTCAGTTCTTTGTGAGCGTGGGCCACACCGTGAGTGGAATTCAACAGAACCTAATATTTGTCTGACCTGATGTGACGATCAGGTGCCGTGTTGACATTCTTCTGCTAACACTTTAATAAATATAAATGGTAATATTATTTACCTCGAGCAAATGACGGAGACATTCTCAGAGAGACAAGTTCAGCCAACGTGTCGTACAATTTAAACACAACGACTGAGAGAAGTTGAACTAATTTTACAAACTGAATTTACATTCTAAAGATGGCAACTTTTCTATCAATGTGTGGAGCATATCAGACCTGGTTACCTGATTACCCGTGGTGCGTTTAGTGCCGTTTTTTTATGTTGTTTTTCTTTTAAATGTTACGATCAATTCTCCCCCAACGCCCAGGTTTTGGTCGTCACATTTGTTTCTCACTGGGTTCGGTGACTATAAAAATACTAATTTTAGCACAGGGTTATTTTGCCAGTTGCATTTTCCCCCCAGTTTGAGGAAAATGTGGTCATAAAAGTTTATTGTTATTGATACTGTTTTCATTAAACTGCTGAGGTAACAGTCTGGCAACAGTCTGGCAACAGTCTGTGTGTGCAGTGGCACAGCCCGGTCTTTATTGTTCACATAAAGAATACGTGTGTGTGTGTGTGTGTGTGCGCGCCTGCTTCAGGGCTGACCAGCACCACACACACACACCAACAGAGAGGAAACACACTACTGGTCAAAGTAGAATAATTACAATACTTACACAGTCCAGAACCATTGATTTTACCTGCATTTTTCTTCTGCTTTAAGTATTAGTAGAAGAAGAAGGTCAGTGGGAAAAGATCTGATTCAAAAAATCATCCGAATCAATTCAAAAGGTGTTGGATTTTAATAACTGAACCTTGTCGAGACACGTCTTAAATAACTTCAAGTTTCATTATCATATTTTGGTCAAGTGTTGAGTGGTGGTGTAAACAAATTTGAAATCAGGGTCGATGTCAAGTTTTTGGCCAAACTTAAATGGAAAGCTGTTAAAATGATTTCGGCTTCGCAGCATTTTTGTGGTGATCCTTCACCATCTGAGCCTTTGACTGCAAAAAAAAAATTTCTCATAATTCTACAAAGAAGAAATTCTCTGATGATATATATAAAAAAAATCCTCATAATTCTACATAGCAGAAATTCTCTGATGGACTCACCGTCGCTGAAAAAGAAAAATATCAATTTTTTTCATAACTATTTTATTCCAATTCAGGTAGAACTCTTTGACTTTTTGACCACGTACTGACTGCTTGCTGCTCTTCTCGCTGTTGTCTCAAGGTCTACGTGTCCTACGACTACGGGACGACGTTCCTGCTTATCTCAGAAAAGTTTCAGCTTTCAGCGACCAAGTTCAAGGAAGGCACGAAGCAGGTCATCTCCCAGTTTTACCACAGCCCAGCCGACAACAGGAGGGTGAGTCACAGTCTTTTCTATCTTCCAGTTTCATCTTGTTGTTTTGTTTTGATTAGATTTTGTTGTAATCACTTCTGCTTTCACCATCTCAGGTTCCTGTTTGGAAACTTTTTTCTATCAGTCAACTTCTGTGAACTGGCCTTTAACACTAAATAACAACTTTTTTTATGGCATCCAAAAATACAATTCTTGAAGACCAGGATCTTTTCCTTGAATTATTAAGTACAAGTTCAAAGATTATCAGACAGATTTTGGCCATGGAGCAGTGCAGACAAATCTCTCCACGACCAAAGTTTTTTAAATGTAATATGTCTATTATTGTGGTCGCACGGAGGCTTCAAAAAGTGTACAGATACCACTGTGTAGGTCAGCGTTCAAACCTCGGCCTTCACTATGAGGGTTTTTATCCAGATGCATTTGAGGGTGAAAAAAAAAAACGTTTTAACTGCCTTTGGATGAGTTGGCGAAATTCAAACACAAAATGTTACTCACAGAGTTTCACTTTTCACTAGCATTTGGTTTTAACTCTCCACCGTCTCTTGCGGCGCTTTTTACAGTTGGACTTTAGATGGATTATAACGTGCAGACCATTCACTCTGTGCATTCGTTCATATATTTTCGTTGGGAAATGATTTGGCCTGGGCTGCAGTTCTCCAGTCCACCACATACAGAGACCCCCATTCATAGACACGTTCACACCGTGCGGTCAGTTAAGGGTGAACAGTTGACCGGTACCTGCTGGTTTTGCAGAAAACAGAATGACCATCACTTATCACTGGGGATGGAACTGGTGATCTCCCTGATGTAAGGCCAGAGCACCAACCCCTGTTCCACTGTGTAGGACACACTAGAAGGACATTTTTAAACAACCCCCTAAATTTGTTAGTTTTTTTTTTAATTTATTACTTTGGTTTTTAAATCCATCCATGAATCCTAGATGATGGAGACTGTTGCGTCGGATCGTTCATTAGGATCATCATACTTGGGTCTTAGCTGTGAAACTTGTAAATTGACACTTTAGGAACTGCAGCATTTAAAGTCTTTGTGGGTTAACACAAAAAATGACAAATATGTCTGCCTCGGGTTTTTTTTTTTTCGTTTTTTGAAATCTGCTATGAGTTACTCTTCGTCAAGCAAAAGTACTCCTAAATTGCTGGCGAATCCAGATGAAGATGATTAAAGCCAGTTACAGTGTTACTGGCTTCGCTGTTCCTTCTTTTTTTTTTTTAACTGCCCTGGTTCCAAGAAACATGAAACAACCTTTTGTACCTGAAGCCCAGTCC